CTGACATTACCCCAAACTCAACTTCGCGCCCTTCTACGCCCACCAGCAGTCCCACCGGAACCAGCAGCCCTGCGTTGGACACACCAACAGACATTCCCAGCTCACCCTCCACAGTCAGAGATGGGGACTGGAGTTTCTCCTTCGAGCAGATTCTCGCATCTCTCCTGAATGAACCGTCTGTCGTTCGCTTCTTCGAACGGGCTATTGACACAAACGCTCTGATCGCACACGCACGTAAAAACCAGCTTAGAGACGCACACTAAAACACTATTTCAGAGCAATCACAGCAAAACACTGCCCTAAAAGCCATAAGCCCTTCCTCATCTCTTTCTCTTACTCTGTGCAACCTCTACAGGTCAGTGTTTGTGAAACACTTATATGTCTGTTAAAAATGAGGAAATCGTTTAATTTAAATACAAATGCACATATGCAGGTGAAAGGGACAAAAAAAAGAATTGAGGTATAAAATGATTCAGATTGTATAGTGTGAGGAAAGAAGTAAAACGGGTATGAGGTTATTGAATGTCAAATAAATGATTAGTGTTTGATGTTATTCATGTAATATAGAGGATAGATGATATAATGTAGATGAAGGTATTATGATGTAATATAGAGAACTGAATGAGGTATTATATTCTAAATGATAATATAAATGGCACCTGTGATTTGGGATGACGGCATGAAAAGGCTTTGCCTTCTTTCTTTATTTGTTACCTCAGAATATTCCTCCAGCTCTCATTCCCAGCCTGACCTAATTCACATAAGCACATGTAAAACCACAAAAGGTAGGATAATTCTAAGGGAAATCAAAGTGCTATGCTGTTGAACTGCTGACAAACTATGTTTTTGGGAATTCGTTCAAAATATCTCAGTCCATTAAACATGTCACCTGACATTACTTACCCTACTAAAACGCTCTATGAAATGAAATAATTGTTCTTTTTGTAGAGGCTTGATTAGGAAATCCCAAAAATGGGCTTATGCCAATCAGGAGGCAGAGTTTAGTCCGCATCATATCCATCGCATTGAAGGTCTATATTAGGAATCCAGATCATAGCTGTTTTAATTCTGATTTACTGAATGTGTTTGTGTCTACAAACTGGAATCTGTGGTTTATGCCTTATTCGTTTTTTGATTCAGGTCTTCACGGATACGAATATCACAAGTGCTTCCATTTAACGAAACCTATTTCATCTTTCCTCTTATTGATTTGTAAACATTTATCGCAACCATTTATAAGATTTGTTTCCAAATAATAAAACAAGGATATTTTCTGCCATTATTTTACAGATTAAAAAATCAAATGCAGAACATACTGAAATGCTTTAGCAAGAAAAATATGTACAACTATTGCGCTGTAAATTATATGCAAAGTGAATAAGTCATTTTTCTGTCAGAGTTCATGTAATCAAACCTGTAAGAAACACTAAGTGATGAGTCCACCAATCGTAAGTAAAATATGTTGTATGATGCTTAAAATGGACCAATGAATATGCAGAATTGTTCTTAATTTTCAGCTTTGTGTAAATGTTGAGAGCTTGTGATGAAGGCAAAAAGGGAAGTTGATATTTTGCGGTTATTCTGTTTAAAGCTATGTCAGATCTATACCAGCTAAACAAGTTTTTCGTTCTATGTTCAATGAAGTAATTATGTTCTTCTAAAGCTAAAAGGCGCCCAAGAGAAGGAAGCCATAGTGCGTATTTTGTATTTGTTTGGTTGTTTATCTAAGGAAAATGCTGTTTTGTTTTGCTTTCTTGCACACAAACCTCCAATTCTATAGTAAAACCTCTCTGGACTTTACAGATGAAGTTGAATTGAAAGTTAAATTATTAGTGTTCCATCTTCTCCTGTCACTTTCTTGCTGTTCATACTTCATGTACTGCGGGGTAAAAGTGTGGTCGTTTTGATTAGATTTTTTTTCTTTGTCTAAAAGTTTTTTCTTTGTTACAAACTGTGCCTCATAAACTCTGTCACATAGTGAAAATTTAATGATAAAATAAAATGTATGAAGAAAACATCTTCCATCTCTATTTCTCTCTAATCTCTAATGTTGTTCTAGTTCTAGAAGCAACCTCGATATTGATCCAGGAACATGCCCTTCATGGGCAGAACAAGTTAAGCCTCCTGGTAAAATGAGAACAATGTAAGCAGGACGTCCACAGTGCTGTCAATAGAGTGATCGATCCCAACTGCAGACATGCAGACAGGTCCCTGCTGTGATCTGCTTCAGCTGCCTTTGATAGGTCACATGAGGAATGTTGCATAATTTATGAAGTCCATGTTGGCACAGCTTGACATCATGTCCTATGACCCCTGCCACTGTGAGAACACCTGTTATGAGACATGCAAGATTTTCTTAAAAGGGGGAGATTGCAACCCCTTTGGGTCATCAGACAGTTTTATAGAACATAGAAATAAAATGCAGTTAGGTAAAATAATCGCAAGGCCTATTATTTTGTGGTAAGCATGTTCTAGCTCACTCAAAAATTCAAATATAGATATGTTTAAGATTAGCAAGTAGCAAAGCTGTAGATTCATTATGCAAAATACTGTTTCCACAATAAAAAGCAATTAACTCTGAGGGAAAGTCTGTCTCTGGTCATGCAGCATTTCAAAATGTAAAAGATACTGTGTTCCAAAAGACCAAAATCTAGTGGGTTTGGTCTCTCTCAGACTGTGTAAAATATTTACATTTTATTAATCTGTACTGAAAGTATCGGACTTTCATATATTTGAAAATGCATACATTTTATTTCAACTAATATTTGTGTATTTATTGTGACAGTGTCAAGCTATTAGCTTAGAAACATGCTAAGAGCTATGCTAAGAGCTTGTGACAGTATCAAGCTATTAGCTTAGAAACATGCTAACATGAGACTCTGTGTGCAGGGCATAAGTGATTTTTTAAGCTTTTTACTTGTAGCCTATTTCAAACGAGTCACTTTTGAGGCTCCTTTTTTAGTCAGGATGATGCTGCCTTTGAATGACCAACATCTCTCTAGCCCTGCTCCAAAACCTTGTGAGCTGCCTAGCTGTCGGCTTGACATAACGATCCATAACTGCCCATGTGACACTTTAAACTTTTTGGATCTGCTGAAATGCTTTTTGCAACTATTTAAGCCACTTGAATTTGAGCTACTCTTGCCTAATGGGACAGATTTAGCCAATCGGTGCTCCTCCCCGTCCGTCTGCTAGACCTGCATCAGGTTTCAAACCGGACACTCATGCTCAAACAGAGTGTCTCTGGGCACTCATTTCAGCTTTCTAAGTATAGTCTTCAGTGTTTATTTAAGAAGTGAACACACACATAGCAACTTTGCTTTATATCAATCATGTTTACATGCTGAGAATGTGTGGACACTACATTCATAAAGTGCTGGTTCTCTGGCTAAAAAGATTTACAGGCCATAGACACATTGAAGACTGTAAACACCTGGTAAAAAAAAAAAAAAAAAAACAGAACTGAAGTCTGGATGATGTAACTTTTGTAAGCTGTTGACATGTAAAATGTGATTAGTGTTGCCAATGAAAGAATATAAATAAATCTGTTTTCCTCCGTAGTCAGTCTAACACCCCCCCCCCCCAAAAAAAACTCACAAAATTCAGACATTCACATTTTACCCGTAAATCTCCTAAGTATTTTATTGCTGGTAAATGTAAAGCAATTCTGAATCATTTTAAAGTATTATACCTATGGAATTCCTGCCACATAAGAATAAAACAATTATGCTTTGGTCAATCATAATTATGACAAAAAAATTGCTCTGCTCTCAACTTTAGAATTTGCAGTCTCTTGTTTGGAGACTTTTACCTAACATATCTACTATTAAACACATTTCTTACCGATGAAACGTATTTAAACTTATTTAAACATACTAAAATGTATGAAAAATGATATTGTATTGTCGGAGAAAGTGTTAAGTATGAAATGAAAGCCATATCGATGGTCTTTTAAGTTAATCGGCTAACCAAGCCAGTTCTTTTTATTGTTGCCATTTTATTCAATTTTAATATTTGAATGTTAGTGAAAATAATAATAAAAAAAAAACTTGTAGATATCCAGCAGCAAATGCGATGGACATCAGTTATGCTCATCTTTAGCTCCTTTGAAGGCTTATTGAGTAAAGCAGCTCTATAATGAATGAAACACATACAAAAGACCCGAACTAGAGGTGATGCGTTTCATAGAATAGGCTACTGAAATTTGTTGCGCAAAACCCCCTTATTCTTCTTATTCTATAAATTTGTCTAGGCCTATTTATATGTTGACTCGAACTGTCCCGCCATATAGATTTAAAATGAATGAGGACTCCATCACACATGACCATAAACAATAAAAATACTTTTTGAAGTGACAATGGCATGTACCCTTTACTAACGAACCTGTGGAAGGGCCTTTCACGAGTTCACACTTACATATAATTAAATAGAGTAAAGGTAATGCGTATTTGGCGTGCTGTTCCGAGCTCGGAATTTAGCCCGAACCCAGAGACCCCCCCCCATCCCAGGTTGGGATAGGAATAGTTAGAAGTGAGGAGATGGGGTGGTGGAGGGATGCTGGAAAACTGTCATAGAACAGAGGTAAGTCTGCTGTACTGTACCTCTTATCTCGTTAATTGAGATGATGAACTGAATGTGGTCCTCCTGTGAAGGGTTTTAGGTGTTCATTTTCATTTGGAATCCCCCTACTTAGTATGTCATAATTTCAACTTTTATCTCATAATTATGACTTAGTATTTCATGAATGTAACTTTTTATCTCATAATTATGTCCAATTATAATTGACCAAAAGCATGATTTTTTTCTTATGTGGCAGAAAAAGGCTCCATATGATTCAGTCCATTATTCAATCATCAGTCTGTTCAATCGATGATCAAGTGATTGCAATGTTCCCACAAAATGAATTCAAGTAAAGCATCACAGCACCAATTTGCATTCAGACTCCCTGATTCTGATGTCACTCTAAATGACACTTTTGTAAATGAATCTCATCGTGCTCAGTGCCGGTGAGCGAGAGAGGGAATCTCTTGTGTGTTCAGAACGGAAGAGCCCGGAAACAGAGATGGAGGCTCGTTTCCTTCTGGTTAGATTTTGAGGTCATCCATCCTGGTCTTGTTGCTGCTGTAGCGACTTGAATGGCTGGGCCTGCGCTGCTGGCTCGCTGGTGATCCGGGGACAGAATTCGCTGCTTTACTGGTCTTGACATCCGTTGCGTCAGGTTTTCCGCTGCGCTCTACAGCCATGTTCTCGCGGTTTTGCTTGCAAACAGAGCGGCTGCCATGCTGTGGGAAGGTTCCATCGGGTTCTGAGAGGTTGAAGTGCGGCTCAGCGGGAAAGGGAGCCGGAGGAGGAGCGTGAGGTGGAAAATACGGGTAGCTTGGCACAAACTGAACCATCTCACTGGGTGCTTTAGATTCCGTGTCGCAGACAGAATGAGCGCGCCGGTAACGGAGGCCCTGTCGGCACTTGGTGAAACCCAGGTGATACATCTCCACCAGGTTGAGCAGCAGAGAGACACAGGCCACGGCCAGCATGAACACGATGAAGATGGTTTTCTCCGTAGGTCGTGAGATGTAGCAGTTGACGGTGTTAGGGCAGGGCCACCTGTTGCAGGTGTACAGTGGCTTGAGATCGAATCCATACAGGAAGTACTGTGCCACAATGAAGCCCACCTCAAACAGTGTTTTGAAGATGATGTTGAAGACATACGTGCGTAGCAAGACTCCCTGCAGGCGGATCTTCCCCTGTTCATCCCGTATAGGACCTTTTCCAGCTTTGGAGCTTAAAAGTACCTGTTTGTCTGCCCCGCTGTCCTCACTGTGTTTATGTTTCTGCTCCATGCGCACCAGGTGGAGGATGTGGCCCAGGTAGATCAGTGTCGGAGTGGAGACGAAGATGATCTGAAGCACCCAGAATCGGATGTGAGAGATCGGGAAGGTTACATCATAACATACATTCTGACAACCAGGTTGTTTGGTGTCACAGGTGAAACCGGACTGCTCATCACCCCAAACCTTCTCTGCGGCAGCACCGAGCACCAAGATACGGAAGATGAAAAGTACGGTGAGCCAGACTTTGCCCACCACCGTGGAGTGTTCCTGTGCGCTTTCCAAAAGCTTTCCAAGACTGTTCCAATCTCCCATTACTGTTGCGTGCCCACCTGCAAAAACATACAAATATATTGGGATGCATCAATAGCAATTAAAATTCTGAATGAGCCAATAATCGTTTTTTATGGCCAATAATCAGTAAAAGATAGATATAAAAATTCTATTGTATTTTGTTTGAATGATAATTTTAATGAATAATTCTGTCAATACTTAGTACCGATACATCCCTACAAAAATACTCTGACATATCTTAGCGTTTTGAATTTCAGTCCAATACAGATTCATCATGTATTAAAGGAATAGTTCACCCAAAAATGAAAACTGTCATCATTTACTCACCCTCAAGTTCTTCCAAACCTGTATGAGTTTCTTTCTTCTGTTGAACACAGAAGAAGATATTTTGAAGAATGTTAGTAAGCTAGTCTTCATGTTTTGGTGAACTATCGCTTTCTCACACACACACACACACACACACACACACACACACACACACACACACACACACACACACACACACACACACACGTATTTAAATAGGGACATTCCATAGACTTGTATTGTTTTTGCATCTTGTTAAAAATACTATAACCTAACCCTAACAGAAATCTTTATGCATTTAAAAAAAAAAAAAAAAAAAAAATTATTTACTTTATACTGTTTTTACAATTGAGACCACAAGAGGAGGTTTTTAGCAGATTTGGCTCACACAAAATTTTACATATTTGTCCCTAAAATATGATTAGTTTGTTACACACACATGCATATATACCAAGTAATCTGGTTAATGTGTACACAAACACATATACAGTAGTAGAGGGGGGTTTTAAAGGTTCTTTGTCATATATATTTTCATATGCCCTGAGGTTTGACTGGCATGTCTTCATGCTTGAGCATGACCTGAAACAGGTGGACATGCTCGACCCCTATACACACACACACACACACATGGATCTTCTAACACACTTCATCCTTTCTGTATTCCATACTGTCTGTGTATAGATTCCGTTTAACTAAACATTAAATTGTCTTAAACTTTTTTTTAAAGCTATGGACCTCCAAATAGGATGCTTGTGAAGGGCCCCCCTTCCTAAATTATAATGGTAGTTATATATTTTCGTGTATACTGTAAAAAATGAAGACATTATACATATGTGTCAAATATTTTCTGGAAAATATCTAATTTGTAATAAGTTGACATTTACATATTTTTGTTTCTTATCTGTCAATAGAACAAAATAATTAGTGATTAATCTCATGATTTTTTGACCAGTTTTTAAAAAAGCAGAATTAAATGGTGATTGGTTACATTCAGTCATATATTTGTCACATCTCTCCACCATGCCCATGATCTCCACCAGAGGGCACTCCTCCAGACTCCCTTGCTTTCCCACATGAACTTCAACTCCCATAACCCATTGTCTGTACTCATTTTTGTTTGGTCACTACCTGGTCACTACCACCTGTGTCTCATTATCTGGTTAAACTCTGCCCATTTAAGCCTGGTGTTTTCACTCATTCAGTGCGAACTGCAAAGTCTTGTATGTTCAATGTTACACTGCAATTCTGAGCCCTTGTAACCTGGTTTCCCGTGTCTCTGTAAGCAGCTCAGATATGCCCCCCCCCCCCCAAAAAAAATTAATAATTCTAATATTAATAATTCGAATAGTAATAATTCTAATAGTAATAATTCTAATAATTCATAATGGCGAAGTCTTTTGTTACGGACTGCTCCGAGACTTGGGTGAAGATCCAAATGCAGCTTTTTTTGGGGCAATCCAGAATCCAGATCACATCCATGTAACAGGCAATTGGTCAAAACACCGTGCAGACAACCCAGACAAACAACACCAGAGCAAAAAACAGAGGCAAACAGGGAAATCCAGCACAAAAAAACAAGCAGAAGATCAAAACTAAGACTCTGGAACATTATATAAATCTTGCATTGCAGCTGAGCGGCTCTGCTTTTACTGTGGGTGTCATGTAGGATGAACACGACATTCACTCACCAGAGCCTGGTGTTTTTACTCATTTAGTGTGAAGTCTTGTATGTTCAATGTTATAGCCTACTGCCATTCTGAGCCCTTGTATCCTATGTCTTAGTTTTGATCTTCTGGCTGTTGCCCTGCATTTCCCTGAGTGCCTGTGTTTTCTACATGGTCTTGTTTGTCTGCATGGTGTTTTGACCAATTGCTTGCTACATGGATTATGATTCTGTATTGCCCAATAAAAGCTGCATTTGGATCTTCACCCAAGTCTCTGAGCAGTCCATAACAATAATATTATTACAATTATTTTTTATTGTGGTTTTTACTATGAATTTTCCTGCTTGTTTGAGAGTTTGAAACCTTGGCCTTCACAGATTCAAATAATAAAATGCTAAAATATGGATTTTTTCCATTTTATATGAATCTAACTACTGAGTTTATTTAGCTCAGCAGTCGAGACAAAGTATTTCAAAACCAATATACACATCCTTCCTCAGATAATCACTCAGACATACTGTGATTAGTCATTGACGAATATACACACACAGTCATATATGAATTAATCACATTAGTCATAATACTAAATATAGGACCCCTTTTGCTTCCCAAAACCTGAAGGGTCTGACAATCATTTGTGCCACTAAGCCATTATCTCTACAAATAGAGACAAAGATTGATTCATGCTGTTAAATGAAAGGAATAAAAAACTGTGAATACAATCTGAACCTGAAAGGATATTAAATTGATTTTTCATTCTGACAGATGATGTTCCTGTGCTGTCAGTCTCTATGTGTGTATAAGGTAGAGTGTGTGAAAGTTGTTTAGTTTTATTGTGTGAAACTTACCTTTCTTTAAATGTCCAGAGTTAGAATAATCCCCTCACACACAAACGCAGTGCTGCACGTCTTCTGTCATACACACACTTTCTTCTGTATTCCAGCACTGGCTCACAGTAACAGTAAGAGAAGACTGACCCATACAAATACACTGTATATATGTGTGCATGTGTGTGTGTGTGTGTGTGTGTTAGGGTTAATTTTGGCAGGGAACACAATCCCTAGGGAGAATTTTGAAGAGTGTACCACCTGCCTTGTTTCTCAGAGCCTTTCTGATGAGTGACAGCTGTCAGGCCCAATGGCTGAGCTCACAGTTGAACGGATGCATTCCTCCCTTTGAAGGAAAGTAACTAAGTAATTATTACTTTTGTCGTTCTATTTTCATTTCTACCTTTTTAAAGTGTTTACCAAACAGAGAACAAATAGAGGTTATAGAGCAAGACAAAAAACAAAGCTGTGTGTCTGAATTGCAGCTATTTTGAATGTAGGATATGTGGTATGACAGATGACAGGGAATATTTTACATTCCCAATAAGCCCAGGTAAAATCTGGATTGGCTGGTGACAGAAGACCCAGGGCTCAAAACAGTTTCATAAACAGGTTTATGAAATATTTTCATATTTGCTGACCTCCATAGGCTCCGTAGCAAATGTAGGTCAGTCCAAATTAATAATAAGCATTTTAACAGATTATTAAAACAAATGTCCTGCCCATTTATAATGTAAAAAGTAATTAATCAAAATAAAATGTAGGCTATCATCATTATATTCCGAGAGGCTGACCTTGATATTGTAGATAAAGCATTAGTCACTGTGGTTTCTATCGAAAGTTGGTCTTTTGGAACTGTAGCACCACCTAGAGTACAAGTAAAACAAAAATAAATCTCAAAGTTATGAGTCGGCTTCTTGTGCAATTAAGAGACTATTAAACATTTGTTTGACACAAAATCCGTAAATCATAATTAATCTGAATTGCTATAAACTGTGTGTAGATGTTTGTAGGCATATGATATAGCAGTTATAGACCTACATAGTGAAGCACACATTTATGTAAGTGGAAAATGAATAGCAGAAAATTGTTTTATTATAAATTTGCTTTCTACTGCTGTGGTTCTCATCCTTTTTGACTCCAAGATCACCATTGTCCAAGACAATATCCAATCCAATGTAAGCTGATTGTAGGCTACCTCTACTTCTGTTGTCAGGCATAATAATAATAAAAAAGCTCAAATAAAATGAGGTGTGTTTTTGTGTGTTTATTTTTAGCATTAACAATTAAGATTATGGGAATAAAACTACATTTAAATCAGTTTAAGACTTATTGGTAAAACCCACTGATCTACAGGATAATGAAGTCGCTACAACTGATGAATGAATTAAACATTTTTAACTTTTTTGTTACAAACACTTTTGACATTTGCAATAAATCTCAATGTGTGAAATCTAATCTTTGTCATCAGGCAGATATTCTATCACAAATAAATTAAGATTAAGATTTTCTTTAATTGTAGTATTTTTAGCTACAATATAACATTTTTATACAGCAGTGTAAATGTATTTAAACAATGGTCTAAAAATGTTTGGAGTAATATAATGTATGTATGTATTTCCCCAGTTTCACAGAAAAGGCTTAAGCCTAGTCCCAGACTAAAATGTTTAAGCTGTTTTAACCGAAAGCTAGCACTGACATATCTTAAAAAATGTCAGTGCCATTGTTTTGTCTTAAGATGCACACCAGTAATGTTTTTTCTAAGGCACGTTTATAAAAGCTACATAAATTCCCTTATCTTGGCTTAATCAAAACCCTGTCTGTGAAACTGGGCCATTGAGTTATAAAATACAATAAAAACATCATCAATGAGGTGAGGATATTATTAGGCCTCATTAACATTAAGAGTTTGAGTGAAATATTTAGCTTTCAGGGTGACTAGATGAGCACTTCTAAAAGGAAAACAATTTCTGGGAGATCCAGGCTCCAACTGCAGAGTCCTTGGAGTTATTGAGATGGCGACTTGTTGCCCTAGCAACAAGAAATATGATTTCTGCGATGTTGAGCAGGATGCAGATGCCAGACACCGCAAGCATAAATATAGTGAACACCGTTTTCTCTGTTGGCCGGGACACAAAGCAATCGACTATGTTTGGGCACGGGTACGAATCACACTTTACCAGCCGGAACATCTTGTAGCCTGGGTAAATCATGTAGAAGAGATACATAAATGCAGATTCGAATAACACACGGAACAGCAGGCTTATCATGTATGTCCACCAAAGGCCACCGGTAATCTTCATCTTTTGAGTCTTTATCTGCTCTAAGTCCTTCGGACTGGTGCGGCCAGCTTGGCGATACAACTTTTTGTCGATATGCCGACGATGTGCAATGTGCATGGCAACCAGCAGGGCGGGGGTAGAGACCATGATGAGCTGCAGCGCCCACAGTCGGATGTGAGAGATGGGAAAGAAGTGGTCGTAGCACACGCTGTTGCAGCCAGGCTGCTGGGTGTTGCAGATAAAATGAGCTTTCTCATCGCCCCACACGCTCTCCGCCGCCACCACTAGAACCATGATACGGAAAATGAAGAGAACAGACAGCCAAATCCGCCCAATGCCTGTGGAATGCCGGTTCACGCCGCTGATCACGGCATAAAAAGACGCCCAGTTCATTTTTGGTTCCAGATCTGCAAAACAGAGAAAAACTCCACTCTTAGCAAACTCTCTCTCTCTCTTTTTTTTAAAGAAATAAATATTTTTATTTAGCAAGGAAACAATAAATTGATCAAAAGTGGCAGTTTATACTCAGCTGAAAAAAATGCATCATGAAAAAAAATGCATCATAGTTTACACAAAAATATTAAGTAGCACAACTGTTTTTAACATTGATAATAAGAAATGTTACTTAAGCCCAAAATCAGCATATTAGACTGATTTTTGAAGGATCATGTGACACTAGAGTAATGGCTGCTATACATCATATCATTTCAAATAGAAAACCCATAGGACGTTATTACATCACAGTCTTGATTTAAGCCTTTTTATTACCACACAATAACCATAAGACATAATAATATCTAACAAATAATGACCATGTCTGACTCAAATCTACAAATATATCTTTGAAACATTGCATAACACAATAATAAAAATGTAATTCTGACCAATCTGAGACCAGAGCTAACAATGAACTTGTTCTGTATAGGTTGGTACTTGCACGAAGTGATTTTACATGACTACTACCTAAAAGAACCTCATTGACTGAAACCCATTTACATGTCACAAGTAAATAAAATGCAAAGAGAAAAATACAACTACATCTACAGAAGAAAACAGCAGTAGACCACCCATGTTCTGACAGACAGAGAAAGTAAATGAGAGAAAGAGATGCAGTATTCAGCATTACCAGACTCCGCAGGTGGTGTTAGTGGCATGGGCAAAGCCCGTTCAGAGGGGTTCTGAAACCCGCCGTGTCTCCGGTGTGCGTGTGTATGCCTGTGCCTGTATGTGTGTACCTCTGTCAGATGAAGTGTCTCCGGCTTGCAGCCACCATTTATGAAGGAACGGACACCCATGTGACCGGCGAACTCAGAGCCAATGTCATTCTCCCATCACACAATGAGAGCGTGGGTTCAGTCACAGAACAAGAGTGTGTGCTTTGATGTGTGTGTTTGTGTTTGTGTGATATGGGTCACCGGGTATCTTCCATCTTGTACTTTTGCCTTTCTGCCTCATATATTTATGTAATATTTTAAGATTTATATTATATATTAATATTATATGCACTATTATAGGCAAACATTTTTTGATTTTAGTCAACTTAATTTTCTATGTCTATCCAATTAATTTGTCCAATGTATTTGAATTGACAAAATAAAAAAAGTTTGGATGTAATTAAAACACAAAAAAGCCCATAAAAAAAAAAAAAAAAGGAACACAATTTACTGATTTGAGATTATTTACAGTGTGACCTCACAGGACCATGTAACATCTTTTAAAACAAATTTAAGCACACTCAATATGAACTAAAATTTTATGTGTGAGTTTAGAATTGGTTATAGGTAAGTTTAGCAATTAGAAATATGCCAATAGTTTGGTTTGCAAACACCCTGAATCAATAATATGCATCAGTGTGAAAATTCATAAAAATGATGATGTCATAGTGCAGGACATCCATTCATATCTTGTAATTTTATGTTTTAATTCATGCTTTTACATTATTGATGAATATGACTATTATTATATTTTAATGTTTAATATAATGGAATATCATTTAGTATATAATAATAAATATTATTATTCATCATACTATACAAATGATTGAATATAAAGTGTTGTCTAAAAATGATAAAATATTATAAAAGTCTTACATATCTCAATCAATTTAGTTTTTTTTTTTTTTTTTTTATTCCTTATACGTTTTTTTTTTCTCTGCAAGGAAAGTGTTGATTGTGCTTTTATTTATTGTTTTAGTGAAATACAATTATGGATGTCATCACAAAGATACAGAATCCTACAAGTACATCAGAAATCCACTAAAGAGTCTCAAGATGCTGTGTAATATCTTGACTTCAAATAGCCTACAGATTTATAGTTTCCCAGAGTGGTGTTATGAAACAATATCTTTTCTGATATTATTATGTGTAGTAGCTATTCCATGAACAGGGAGTGGTTGTAAACTTTCTAAATTAAATATAGAGGGGAGTTTCACACAGCTGAATTCACTGGTTTGGGTTTGGTAGTTGGTTGATTATTGAGTTTCTGGAGTGAACATGGTTGGTAGTTGATTATGGCAAAGGTTTAATTGGTAGGTTTAGTACTGTGTTTGATAGGGTTGATATTTGGCAATGTTTACCTGCGGTTGGTGTGGTCCCTGAGCAGAAGAAGAGGTTGAAGTCGCACAGGAAAGGGTTGATGTTTCCCTAGTGCCGATTATGGCGCAGTACCGGAGCTTTGCATTGCTAATCACTCGTGTCACGCTGTTACTCACCCCACTACAAACATCTCCACACAAAAGATGCTTGTGCTGCCAGTCCTTAACCATTCAGATCAGATCCGAGGCACACACCCACCAGTAGAAACTGTGACGCAAATTATGTACAAACGCACATTTACACATGAACATACACCAACTCACATACACAAGCATGTACATTAGTGGCATAGCCTACACATAGCAATTCTTTCACACACATTCATAGCCTCGAACAAACATGAAAGTTTAAACACACACCCAGTCTTTGTCTGCAAAAAGATGTAGCTACTGTTTTTAGCTAACTGTTTTTAGATGGACCTAAATGTATTATATTAAATCACTCCGATCCTTCATAGTCACAACAGCAACTTCAAAAGAAAAGATAAAATTCATCCAAATTGTTCCTTATTATTGTCTAAAGCAGCATTTATTGAAGGGAAATTTAATTTTAAAAAATAATATATAAATAAGCACCAAACATTAAGTTGTTTTTATATATATAGAATTGTTGGGAAAATATATAATGCAGGGGACATTCTTTTAACTTTTAGTATTTCACTTCCCAAAGGTCTCCACAAGGTGACCAACGAACACGAGCACCAGCACTCTGGCACAAACACAGAACGCGCGAGCGCGGCAGCGCGCACGACCAGCCCCACCTAGAGGAATTGTGGGAAGACATGGCAGCTTCCGCTGTTTGTGTTCACGGAATTTCCGCACCGAACAGTCACTTAATTAATAGAGTTTAGTTAACATCACAACTCAATAAGTGTTGTGGTTCGGTTTGTTTCGGGATGGAGGAGAGCGGCAGTGTGGACAGTGTCGAATCGCTGTGCAGGTATCAACAGAAAACACACTCTAAATGAATTGTTAATGTATAATTTCACGCTGGCTTTTATATAATGTTTTTGAAACTTGTTGTTGACAAGCACAGCCGGTAACTGTCTTCATTTCACTGTCAGAAGGGATAGTTCACCCAGAAATGAACATTCTGCCATCATTTACATACCATTGCTCCAAACTCGTATGACACCACTTATTTTTATTATATTGAAAAAAAAGATGTAAAGATAGTGAATTATGACTGAGGCTGTCAGTCTCTAACATTCTGCACTGTATGTTCCATGGAAGAAATAAAGTCAGTTTAAAATATACAGTTTTGGAACAACATGGGTGAGTAATGAAATAATGTTCATTTCTGAGTGAACCTTTCCAGATCATAAGTAAAGCTCAAAGGTGTGCTTTAATCCACCTTCATCCTCTAATGTCCTTTCAGCTCCACTACGACCCGCTCTGACCGTTCAAGTGGCACCAAAGTTTCAGACACAGAGCTGCGGGTCAGTCAGAACCAAAGTTCAGCCCAGCACTTCTTTTTCTGTACTTAAAACTGATGTATGTTCCGAACTATTACTATTACTAAACCTCATATGTTACTTTTTCTTATTACAGAGTAAAGGAAGGACATTTGAAAAGGTATTAAAGTGTGAATGTGTGCAAAAGACTTGGATAAAGCTTCAGTTTATGTTCACTGATCAAATTTTCCTGTATGCAGGTCTATAAAGACCCCGGTAAAGGCGAACTTCCTCTTCTGGTAGAGGAACTGGTTCAGGATGCCGGTATGTGTGGCACATTATACTGACTGCTGTGCATCAGCTATTCTGATGGTTTTAATGTATGTGCTTATTGTGTGCTTGTCCACAGCTAAAGACGTGACTTACATTTGTCCATTCATTGGGCCTGCTAGAGGATCTCTGACTGTCACCAACTACAGACTGTTCTTCAGGTGCACTGACAGGGTAAGAACCACACACACATGCTGTTTCTGTACTTCTGGAGAGAATTTCTAAACTAAAGACTTAATTTTCAGGCACCTTTTTTGTTTGTTAGGAGCCGGTATTTGGGCTAGATCTGCCACTGGGAGTTTTGAGCAGAGTAGAGAAGATCGGAGCAGCGACTAGCAGAGGAGACGCCTCATACGTCCTCGTCTGCAAGGTTTGTGAATTTATTTTTTTGAAGAAGACGACTTGACATTTAACTATACATATATGTTTAAAAAAACAATAATTAAAAATAAAGCTGAAATAAAATATAATTATTGAATGAAAATTTTAATTTAAAAAGTTTAAACAAAAATTAAAAATATTGAAATAAAATGTACAAAAATGACAAACAAATAAAAATAATTTAAAGCTAAATTGGAATATAAATTGAAAATATACGAATAAAGGCTACTTCAAAATATTAATAATAATAAAATGAGGTGTTATAAAAAAGTGTTATTTTAGTGTTATTTATATACTAATAAAATAGTATATAAATAATACTAAAATAACATTGTTTGTGGTTGGCCAATGAAAATGTTGGCAGGGCAGGAAACTGGCCAGGAGAAAAAACCCTTACTGTTGAGCCCTGATACATTCTTTTCCCTGCATGTTTGATCAATGTATATGTGTCTTGTAGGATATGAGGAACCTGCGTTTTGTGCACAAGGAACCTGAGGACTCACTAAAGAAATCAGTGTTTGAGGTTCTGATGAAGTTTGCTTTTCCAGTGTCAAACAACATGGTGAGAAACATAAGAAGACAAAGAGCATATATTATTCCAGCATACAGTATAGTATAATTAATAAACCTAATTCAACAAAATCAGCATCGGCCTAAAAGTAATTAGAGCTCATAATCTCTCTGTCTGTATCCCTCCTTTCTCTTTGTCTAGTCCCTCTTTGCATTTGAGTATAAGCAGGTGTTTCCTGAGAATGGATGGAGGGTGTATGATCCACTGGCTGAATACAAGAGACAGGTACAGTACATTGTGTGTTTGTTCATTTTTTAGTTTTTTTTGTTATATGCAAGGTGATAATATACAGTCATCCAGTCTTTGTTGCAAAATAAACCCCTTCAGAGGGACGAGGACTCTAATGTAAAGCAGGGGCGGCTTGTATCACCCTAAATAGGATTGTTTTGCAATAATGATGGCTGGGTGTACATTCATATGAAATAATGGTTTTATTCTACAATATTTCAATATTATTTTTTGATTTTATCACTTGGCAGTTATATAATAATAATATTAGTTAATAATATTAATACATGTATTATATATATATGTATATATATATACATTATGTAAAATATGAAAAATATATAATAATTTACAGTATTTAACAATATTTTATTATTTGAAAAGAATGAGACTTATGGAGGGATACAAGAGACATCTGGCACAGCTATGTAGGATATTTTAAATCAATTCTACATTTTAGGGTCATTATACAAAACATATTTCACTGCAGAATTCTGTGATTGACCAATAAGAAACAAGTATTTCAGAGAGTCGTGTTTTAAATATAAATAGGGTCTTCCGAATGAGAGCTGGAGGATATCCAAAGTAAATGATCACTATGAGCTGTGTGATTCATACCCAGCGGCACTAGTTGTGCCGGTAACAATCACTGACGAGGAACTGTGGCGCGTCTCCAGCTTCAGGGCCAAAGGACGCATTCCGGTCAGTGTCTTGAGACGTTTCTGAATCTTCACACTTCAGTTTGTGTGTGAGCAATAATTCATCCTCTGGTCTCATCACTGAAGCTATTGGCTCGTTCCGGTTTAGGTATTGTCATGGATCCACCCGGAGAGTCAGGCTGCAGTGGTTCGGTCCAGCCAGCCGATGGTAGGTCAGAATGGTCGACGCAGCAAA